TCATTGCTACAATGACAATTCACTAGCAGGGACCACTTCCTTGGTAACGATGGGCGATGAGGGATGAGGAAGTGTGTATAGTGCTGCGGTTTGGGGAAGGCCTTGAAGGGGACTGGCAACGGCTCTCGGGCCGGGTAGATCCCCATGTACTAACGAGAAATAAATGGAGGAAAGGAAAAGAGGAGAGGAGAAGAGGAGAAGAGAAGAGAGAAAAGGGGGGCAGGGTAGGGCATGAAAATGAGAACAGCAGGTATTGGAGAAGATAGCCTGAGGCCGGAGGGGGCGTGAAGGAGGAGTGGTCCCGCTCCTGAAATTCAGATGATATCTCCACTAAAGAGTCTGTCTCTGTTTTCTGATGTGCTGGTGTCATGCGTTGCTGTGTAGCAGGCAGGTTGAGACCCAATATGCAGAACTCAGAGACAGAACTAAACTCAAAGCAACTTTACAAAAAAGTAGACGGGGCAAAATTACAAGAAACTCAGGACACTAATGGGGAAATGCGAAACACACAGGGAACACAGTGATGGGAGGTACTGTGCCGAGGCTTCAGAGCACATGTAAAGACATATAAAGAATAACACAAGATGCATAAACACAGACAGGGACGAAGACAAAAGAACGTGACACAGACAAAAGATAAATAAACATGAAGACAAGACTGACTAAGCACAGAAGATCTAAGAGAAAGGCAGACTTGACAAAGGGAACACAGGAGGACAGAAAAAACAACCTTGAAGAAAATCTAAAAATGATAACTATAAATACCAAATATGAACAAAAACACAACCTAAGTAAAAATCCCCTCCATACAACTCAAAACTGAACACTTCAACAAACCAAGTCAAACAGAGAATATCACACACACAGCTGGATAAGCAATTCCAATCCAGGAGGTCCTACCTCACAACTTACAGAACTCAGAATCTTTGCTAACATCTTGTTGTCAGATACTACAGTACATCTTCAAGCGTCTAGCATAGTCCATGACTCCCCATGTTTCTTTTGGCAGTAAAAGGGGGACCAACAGAATATAAGGCAAGTGGTCATAATGTTATGCCATCTGTGTCGTTATATTCCTCTGTTATTGGTTGGCTTGTACAGGTTTCAGTAGCATTTAAAGTAGGAGAACTAGTAAAACTGTCTGTATTGTACTCTGTATTTGTAATCCCTGTACAGATTGAATGTCATATGTGGCTGTGGGACAGGCAAGGCAGAACCCAAACACAGGACTCGAAGACAAGGGAATTAGTTTTAAGGTGGCAGCTATGATGGCCAAATTAAGCTTTCTGAAACATTGAAGCTTGTATTCAAAAAGGTTTCATTACTCGAAGCTGTTCAACAGTCCTCTTTTGTGCCATCTTGTGGCCAAAAGTATGAAGAGCAGCTTGAATCAACAGCTTGAAATTAACTGCTTCCTACAGAGCTGAGTTGACAGTTTCTGTTTAATATCATGTGACTGAGGTGCTTTGAACATGTTTTTATGTATGTATGTATGAATTTATGTATGTATTTATGGGGGGGCGGGGGGGGGGGAGTGAAAAAGAATGATTATTTGATTAATAAATACTTTTGATAAATAAACTTTTGCTTAAACGTGCTGTGTTATGGTCTCCTTTTGTTTGATTTCCTGACATTTGAAAGCAAAACATTCTTTATAATAATATACAACACGCTCTTATAATAGGTTGGGAGTATGCTTGTGCTGTAAGGTCCCCATTTCCACATGCCATAATTAACCAATACGCAGCTACACTTGTATATAATATATTATAACTTATATGTATAATGTATTTTAGGTACTTTTTTACCTTGGGGTAGAATTTTTCAAAAACTAGTAAAATAAAAACAACACATAAGACTGTTCTATTTATTTTTTCTTTAGGAATAGGCAGAATGTCCTCTCTTCCTTGCTGGCTCCATGTCTCTCAATATGTCACACACTTCGCTCTCTTACACAAAATCACAACAACACAGCACAAATCCTGCCAATGATTCCCTTCATTATAAACCATGGAAACAGGTATTGAAGCAGAGACGTACCAAATGAAACTTCACACATCACTGATCATGTGACTCGAGTTAGCCGAACCAAGCCTCGACACTGCTTCAGAAGCAGTGTGTTGGTTTTTGTTTTTTGCACCGGAGCCTCCGCTTCAAACGGAACATCACTAAAAAACTCTAACGAGGGAGAAATTAGGAACTGGGAACTAGAAAACATGGAAGGTATAGGGTACAGGGAACCACACAGCAAACAGGGATGACGCAACAACAAGCAGGGGGAGACTAAAATACACACAGGATAATTAAACGATGAACTAACAGGACAGAGAAAGCAAAATTGAACACACAGTACAAAGAGACTGTCAAAATAAAACAGGAATTAATGTCAGCTGATTCAGTCCCAACTGACCTATTTTAAAAAATGTGTCTCATTACCAAGAAACATCTCATGATGGGTAAAAACCAATGAGCTCTCTCAAGACCATTGCAACCTTATTGTTGCAAAACATCTTGATGGGATTTGCCACAGAAGAATTCCTAAACTACTGAATGTGCCAGTGAGCACTGTTGGAGCCATAATCTAGAATTGGTAAGAACATAATTTTACCATAAGCAGGCCACGACCAGGTGATCCCCGCAAGATTTCAGGAAGGCAGTGAAAAGAATTATCAGAAGAGTTGTCCAAGAGCCAAGGACCAGTTGTGGAGAGCTACAGAAAGACCTGAAATCAGCAGGTAGAATTGGTTGAAAGAAAGCAATAAGTAATGCGCTCAACCATGTATGGACGCTCACCACACCGCGTTTACAGTTTGCTGACCAACATTTAGACAAGCCTGTGAAATACTGCCAGGATATAGCCTGATTAATTAAGACCAAAACAGTATTTGGATGCCATAATACACACTATGTTTGGAGGTAAAAACGGACTGCATATCGCCCCAAAAACACCATATCAACAGTGAAGTTTGGAGGTAGGAACAGCATGGTATGTGGCTGTTTTTTGGCATTCAGCATTGGGAGGGTTCATATAATTGAAGGAAAGATGAATGGAAAGACGTTCTGAGACATTTTTGATAAAAAAAAATCCACTGCCACCTACCAGGATGATGAAGGTGAAACGAGGGACGTGTCAGCAAAACAACAATCCCAAACACACAGCCAAGGAAACGCTCAATTGCTTATAGAGAAAGAAAGTAAACCTCCTAGACTAGCCCAGCCAATCACCTGACCTGAATCCTGAAAACTTTTCCCTGTGTCTGCATCATTAGTACACATAATTTAATTATGTACTTATATGGTTTGATTTATTTGCATGTGTGGATTTGATGGGTTGAGACATTTGATGAGAATTTCATGTCAGTAGCACTTTTAGAAATATATTTTCTTAAAAAATTGGTAATGTGTTCAATACTTATTTTACCCACTGTATGCACTCACCAGACAATTTATTAGGTATACCTGTTGAACTGCTTATTGCAAATATTAGCCAATCACATGTCAGCAACTCAGTGCAATTAGGCATGTAGATGTGATCACAATGACTAAAGTCCAGCCTTAGTATCAGAACAGGGGGAAAAAAAGGTGATTTAAGTGAAATTGCATGTGGCTTGGTCATTGGTGCCAAACGGGCTAGTCTGGCATCAGTGAGTATTTCAGAAACTGCTGATCTACTGGGATTTTCTCACATAACCATCTCTAGGTTATGTAAGCACTGCTCATATAACTAGGTCTCTATTTTAGACCATTCTCTTTTTTAAAGCATGACCATCCAAGTGTGCACAGAAAAGGCACATTTAAGTCATGCTTTGCTATGCATCATTATGCAGAAAATTCAAGAACTGATCATGCAAGTGTCACAACAAAACTGTTTGATTATTAGCTATAATGTGATTGATGATTTTAGTCCAGCAATTTTATACATTCAGTAATAGATGAACACTCAATGCTGTGAGAGCACATTTAATCTTTTTCTGAAATTTTATATTAATTTAAGCTTCAATGTATTCTATTTGGTAAGCTATTACAGTGCTCATATGCAGTGGATTATTAGTTTTGGGGAAGAACAGTATTATACTATTTTGGCTGTAGCGTAGGTGATCTACTAATAAGAAGGTTAGTGGTCCATCCTCACTGCTCCAGTCTGCATGCATAAGTATCCTCACACACTGAACACCAAGTTGCTCTCTGATGTATTCACTGGAGAATGAATGCGTGTAAATGTTAGATAGAAAGCACTTACTAGCACCTGTAGAATATGTGTGAATGGATGAATGAGTCGTGTTGTATAAATGATGTAGAAAAGTGCTATATAATAACCAGTCCATTTATATGATCAGTTTGTCTGAGTTATAAATAGGCCACCTCAGCTCATTTCAAAAGCGATTTCAAAAGTAGGGTCATGTCTGTACTAACGTTATTGTGTGAATAGCACGATATGTGATTTGCACATTTCCGAAAAGCCCTCCCCCCTCCCCCCCTTACACTCTAAGAGGAAATTAGCTAAGGTATTGACAAAGTGTCCAAAACCCGACAGCACATGAAGGCAACACGTCTAATGCGATTGATAAAGCCTCGCATCTCCATTGCTCCTTTAGTCATAACTGCAAATAGTCACACACGCAAAAACACACAGTCTCACTGTGTCAAGTGTATGTCATTATATTTCTCTATCCATGCTTATATTGCAGGGGGATATTGCAATCTATACAAAGCGCTATTGTCGAGCCGGGTAAAAAAGAAAATAATCTTTCTGTGATGTAACAATAAATTAATGTGTGATTTTTAAAAAAATCGCTACAACGGTGTTGCTGATGCTTTTCCCCGAGAGCATCCTCCGTTGCGCCACTAAAGCATGTCATCCTGACCCGTTTCGAAATGCAGACATGTTTTAGCCGGTAACATAACAGGACAGCAGATACAGTAGATTGCAGCAACACGCACAATATCGGAAATTAGAGAGAAGAGAGGACACATGCGGCACTAAAGCTACTTTTACTCACGGCTCTGAAGAAACGCCATGAACATGATGGTATCGTTGATCCTGAGGAGGGTCGACATGACTGGAGTCTGACATCAGCAGTGTGTGTGGCGGGGTTGAGTGTACTTCCCCCTCCCCCTTTTAACAACATGGGGAGGGTAAGCGAAAAGATGAATACTGAGGAAAACCAGTTGCAAAACTTTTTTACTAAACTGTCTAAAGGGGAGTTATTCATAAAGAAACACTTTTGCCCAAGGTGTAGGCTGTCTCACATTCTATGACCAGCCTCACGAAAACCCTGAATTGGGTATGGGGAAGGAGAAGGATGGAGGGATGGATTGCATATACACAGGTTAACAAAATCATTTTGGACATGCAACAATCTGTTTGATCTGATCTTCATCTACACACAACACAATATCCATTCATCCATCTTCTTCCTCCTACACAACTTAGCAAGCCTGTCCCAGATGGCAGAGGACGAGAGGCAGGGTACACCCCGGACAGATCGCCAGTCTGTTGCAGGGCAAACACAAAGAGACAGACAACCATTCACTCACACCTATGGTGCGGCCACTTTAGAATCACCATTTATCTAACCCCACTTTCTGCACATATGGTGACTGTGGGAGGAAGCCGAGTACCCAGAAAGACCCCACATAGACACAAGGAGCGCATGCAAATCCATCCTTTCCCTGACGCTGGAATTGAATTCAGGACCTGGAGGCAACAGTGCTAACCATCCCATTGTATTCAGACAAAAACAATCTACCCTTCCCCCTTTCATTCCTCCCCTGATGACATTTAATTTTCAATTTTATTTATAAAACGCCAAATCACAACAACAGTCATCTCAAGGTGACCTTACAATTACCTTACAATACCTAATACTGTAAGGTAAAGACCCTTCAATAATAAGGATACAACCCTAACAGTTAAAGGAGCCCTTTGAGCAAGCATTTGACAACAGTGGGAAGGAAAACTTTTAACAGGAAGAAATCTCCGCACCATTTTCAGGGAGGGGCAGCTATCTGCTGCGACCAGGTGGAGGTGATGGGAGGAAGACTAGATAAAAGACACACTGTGAAAGAGAGCCAGAGATTAATAATAACTAAAGATTAAATTCAGAGAGGTGTATAAAAACATAGTGAAAAAAGATGAGTAAAGAAGAAATACTAAGTGCATCAAAGGGAAGCCACAACCTAGGCCAATTGCAGTGTAATTAAGGGAGGATTCAGGGTCACCTGATCCAGTTCTTACTATATATGCTTTATCAAAAAGCAACGTTTTAAGCCTAATCTTAAAACTAGAGAGGGCCCCTGCAGTGAAAAAAAGAACATGTTGGATTTACTTAATTCAATAGTGGACATTGGTTGCACACAATTGCTTTGCTTTGGCGGAAACTTAAACAACTTAGTTAAACCAACACAACTTATTCATATTCAATAACCTGTGCATTTTGTGTTGATGAAACGTGATTGAAAAATGTTTAGATGAAGTAAGTTGAGCTCTTGGAATATTTTAATCCTTCACAATTTTGTCATTTTATTCCAACACTATTCATTAACTTTTACCCCAATACTACTTGGTCACTTAAATACTACATGTTGTCTTCATATTACATAATGTTCAACAAAGTCCAGAGTCTAGTTAACATTTGAACCCAGGACCACAATAAATAGCATACACGTGGTGTGTGTGTAGTTGTCTGCCTCTTATAACTCCAGTGATTTACCTGCAGTTTGAAATCTCATGTGATTTTGTGAATTTCATGTCCAGAAACTAACCACTCTTACTAGAATATTTCATGTCATCTCAACAAGTACAAATTAAGTTATTGAATTTCATACAGATACTACATGATTTAATTATGTTCACCATAGAAACATGAAATTATTTTGTTACACTTTACAAATGACAAGTTAGACTTTTGTAAACGTAACAACCATTCAATTTCCTTTTTTCGGTAACAAAACTAGAGGCGGCTGCTCAACTTGACTGAGATGGATGCCTCCCTCAAACCATGATCCAAAGCGCGCAAAATGAAATCACGTGCAGTGTCAGATTTAACATTGGTATATTATTGACTTAATTCCCTCAAACATTATATGAACAATTTAATATACCTTCTCTGCATATCATGTAGTTTATACACTATACAGTTACACTTAACTTTAAAGCATGAGGCAATTGTGTTAAATACACGCAAGATGCTTACATAAATCCAAGAGATGGCCAATCCCTTTTTTCAGTGTCTCCCAAAGCCAAACTGGGAGATGTTTCCACAGAATAGGGGGATTAAAGCTTCTGAAGGTTCTGCCTCCCATTCTACTTTTAAATATCCTACAAACTACAAGTAAGCTAGCACTCTGAGAGGGATTTATAAGGTACTACGCTCAAAAATTTAAATGAACATAAAAAATAATGAAAAGGATTTTTATTGGTTAAAAATAAATTGCTTTATTTTAGCATTATGCAGTTCTGTTATTTGAACTTAATGTAAAATTGGACAAACTTAATTAGTTAATGATGGATCAACTTATTTACTGCGGTTAAGTCAAACTGAATTTAATTTAATTGATCCAACAATCTGGACAGGTCACCAGTGTATCGCAGGGCTAACACAGAGAGACAGACAACCATTTGCACTCACAGTCACACTTATGAGCTATGAGTGGCGAGGCTGATGGTGGCTATGATGGTGCATGCATGGGCAGCAGGTTGAGAGTCGTGTACTCCACTGTCACTCCCTTACTATCTGCACATCTTCTACTGAGAAAATAACAAAGTACAGTGTTCTGCCTTTTATAAATTAGACTGGACTATACAGTTTTATAAACTGCCAGAGTTCCCTCTGGTGGCTGCTTTGTAATATTGTTTTGATTACTTTGGAAAAAGACAAATAAAGGAAGCGGAAAATCCAAGATGGCTGAACATAATGCCAAAGTATTACTGTTTTAAGCTGATATGGACCTTAAAATATTGTTGCTTTGGTCGAGATTTGTCCATAAGTATGAGTGACAATAAGGTCAAGGTCAAGTTTATTTACAGAGCCCATTTCCAAACAGACATGTTTTCAGTTTTACGACGTCAAAGAGAAGGCAACAGTCGAGGACATTCTTCAATAAATCAGCACAAAAAAGGAAAATAAGTCTGTTTATTGGAGCATCGTTATCTCGTTGTCTAGCTGGTGAAAACTAGAAAACTCAGGGCGAGGATAGCACATACAGAGGGCCACCTCAATGTTGTGTACTGCTGGGATATTTATAACTGGAGCTATTTGTAGCTATTAGAGCTATTTCATTATATTTTGTAACTTTGTAATGTATTCCAATTTTTCATTTGTTTTAGTTAGTTACTGTTCTTACTACCTTAGAGCAACATTGAGCACATAATTTTTTCAGGGATTAAAAAAGTATTCTGATGATGAAGACAATGTTCAAACTGGCCCAGCCAATCACGTGACCTAAATGCAAGTGAACTGTTGTGGAAAGAACTAAAGCTTTGAATTTATAGAAGGGAATCTTCAGGATTTGAATATTGTTTGTGTGGAAAAATGGGACAAAATCACATGTGAGTAATGCATGCAACTAGTTTATCCATACAGGAGGCATCTCGAAGCTGTCATCACCAACAAAGGCTTTTATACAAAGTACAAAGTAAAGTATTTGTACAAAGTAGTAAATATATTTCAGTAAGTGTGTTCAATACTTTTTCCCTGTATCATTTCTGATTATTACACACACATGGACATCTATGGTTGGATTTCTTTGCATGTGTGGATTGGATGACGTCTGGTGAGAATTTCATGTCAGTAGCACTTATATAAATATATTTACTTAGAAAGTTATTGATGTTTTCTATATTTATTTTACCTGCTGTATGTGCTAGTTTTCCCCTTTAAGGCTTGTTCTGCCTACCATTTTGAGACCTAGTGCCCTGGAAGAGTCTGATAATTAAGGTTAAACTAAATTAAGGAGCAAATCTATTGAACACAATTATTATAACTAGAATAGATGCGTGGGGCACGATGTGTGCAGAAAGAAAATGGCCTGAAAGTGGGTCAACTGTGGTTTTTTTGAAATATAGATCTAGAAAATATTTGCTAACCAAAGCTGAAATTTCATGGTAATCATTATACATGTTTAAACCAATGAAACATCATTTATTTATTTTACAAATTGGGGCAGGTTTAATAGAAAATAATCAAGAAATTGATGATATAAAATGAAAGGACCCAATTATTGAAAATGAAAACATTTAAATTCATAGATAAAAAAATAAAAAAAAATAAAATTTAAATTAAAACCATAAAAATGTCTTATAGATTCAAGCATACCTGCTAAAACTTGCCTGGTGACCCATGCATGTAGAGATGAGTGGATGAAGTCATATGAAGCATTTGAGGCTTCTTCCTGATTCAAAGCCTCAAAGACAGATCATACCAGAGGTCAGTTGCAGTTATGGCACCCAAAAACGACAAATGGGTTCAGTGAATCACAAATGATTCACAGAACTCATTGATTAAAGTTCAAACACAAAAGAAATTCAGTCTTAAGCAGCTGTGCTTTTATTATAAAAATCAGTGCCCACGAATCAAAGTGTTACATTTTGAAATGTAAATTTACTGATTCAATGTGTAGAGCTGCAGCTATCGATTATTTTAGTAACTGAGTAATCAAACGATTCATTGAATAAGAAATAATATAAATAATTTTGTCTTATTAATGAGAAATAATAAATATTCAAAAGAGGAAAAAAACTGTTTAACTGCATACAACATTCAGTTAAACATGCAGTCAAAACATCCCAACTAAACCCTACATGTCATATTGAAATTTCTTTTTTGAATAATTTCTGAAATGCAAAAAATATATAAATAATCTCAAGTACAGTCAAAGTTAAATAAAATAAGAAATATATATGAAATCTATGGCATAATAAAATGATCTTTCCTCTGTCTCCCTCAAAGGCTTTCTGGTGTTAATAGGGGCCGAGTTTTAGTGCTACTGAAAACAAATGTTATGATGGAGCAGACATTAATTAATATTAATAATCCGGTGTCCAACCTAACAACCCTCAGGTCTGTGGCTAGGAGTTTAATGGCCCATGTACATTTTTATTGGCTGCCTCTTTGCTCTTCGCAGTGTGTAAACAGACTCCGAGTGCGTTTAATTGTGCCAGAGTCATCATCACTGTTGCTGCTGTATTAGATTGTCGCAAATGTGGGTGAAACGCTTGTATTTACATCATTTAACACATCTGCGGGCTACAGAGCCACGCACTGAATGAAGCATCAAGTTGATTAATTAATTTGATTGACTGAACAGGTATTCCTGATGTGTGCCCTATGCTCTATGTGTGGATGCATGCTCAATCATGCAGGTAAGTAAATCCCAAAAGGTTGGTTCTACAGTCTCAGCTGACTGCAGGTTTCCCCAACCTATAAACAGTACATTTGCACACAGTGGGTTTGGTGCTGTGAGGAGCTCAGATGATCATGTGCCAACAGGCTTATTTTGCTCATAGTGAAAGGTAAGGAATGTCAGAAAAATTATGCATAGTTAATTGTAATCAAATATTGACTTGCTTCATTGCTGTTGTGCTTTCTTTAATGTAAACTCATGTTTTGCAAAAAAAAAAAAAAAGTGTATGTGATGGAGGGAAATTGAGATCTTTTTTGAATTCAGCACTCTAAAAAACCCCCAGAATTTACAAAAACTATCCCATGCAGCTGAAAAATGTTTTTTGCAGACCTGTGTTACAACTTTCACTAATGTTTACATTAACTTGGATTGTGAAGTTGGTGTGGCTTCACTGCAGAGTCTATTTCTTATTAATGGGCTGCATGCTACAGGTATTTAAGGTGGCATTATTTAGACCATTGCTTAAAAGACCATGGCTATAACCTTAGTCTTAGCTAACTGTAGGCCAATCTCCAACCTTCCTTCTATCTCTAATTCTTGAAAGAGAAGTGGTAAAACAGCTAACTGATCATCTGCAGAGGAATGGTTTATTCAAAGAGTTTCAGTCAGGTTTCAGAACTCATCACAGAACAGAAACGTCATTAGTGAAAGTTACAAAAGATCTTCATGTGGCCTCTGACAGTGCTCGTCCTGTAGACCTCAGTACAACACTGAATACTGTTGACAGTATTATTTTATTACAGAGATCAGAGCATGCCATGGGAGTTAAAGGTACAGAACTGCAGTCATTTGAACCATACCTAACAGAATATAATTTGTTCATGTAAACAGAGTCCTCTTCACACACAAAACTAATTGTGGAGCTTCACAGGGTTCTGTGCTAGGACCAATTTGGTTTCACTTAGGCAGTACTATTAGAAAACATAGCATATATTTTCATTGCTATGTAGACGATCACCAGCTCCATCTGTCAATGAAGCCCAAGGACATATGGCAATTAGTTCTTAAGAGACAAAATTCAGATAAAACTGGTGTGCATATTAGAAAAAACAGGAACCAAAGTTGTATTTTTGTTTTATTTTTTCACTTCGTTTCAGCAGACTGTCTCAAGCTAATTCAAGCTGAATTTCAGAGCTCATATACTGTCATTGAAATAGCAGTAAAAATCAACATAAATATATTCCCACGTACCAGGTTTACCCCCCCCCCCCCCCCCCCCCCCACCCCCCCAAAAAAAAAGCCCAAAAGACAAGGGACAACTGTGTCCTCACCAGCACAGTACTGGTGGAAAACAAATACTAGCTCCAGCTGTTGGTTGGATAATTCTTTGATAACAACAGAAAGGGGCACAAATAAACAGAGATTAGATGGGTTTGGATAGGTGTTTTTTTATTTTAAAACTTTCTATTAATGAGGTCTCAAAGTGTAAGCAGAGCAAAGTGCATCTCCTACCAGTAACTTACAGCCTAAGTGCTGAGCATTCATTCAAAACACATTTTCATTCTGTCTGAATCTCCATGTCAGACAAACAAAAAGTTTGCTCCCTGTCACCTGACAGAAGAAGAGAAGTGGTTTTTATCTGTCTTTATGTTGCATCTCGTTTCTGCTTTTAGCTCACAGACGGTGGGTGGGGTGGTGTGTGTTGCAGAACAGTGAACCTTCCCCTTTGCGCTACAGCTGTTCACTTCTTCCTCACATGTTGGTGCTCATCCTGGTCTGACTGTTGGCTGGTGTGAGTTCACCCTGGCTGCCTTCTCTGGGTGGAGACTGAGAACAGGAGGAAACAAGTAAGGCACTACTCTTGTTCAACAGCATAGCTATAAACTCTGTAACATTGAATAACAGATGAGGTTCAAAAAAGAAAGAAGACTTTAAAAATCTTAACAGAATATTAAAACCCCGAGTCCAACAACCATCAGGAGCTAGTCTTAGTTACTGCCAGCAATGTTGACCAAGTTCTTGCAAATGTGGTCGAGGAACCGAATGGCTGGTGGCAATGAGCCAGATACCCCGTACTCCTGAAGCACCCACTAAAAGAATACTCCAAGGGCCTTGACGAACTCAGAGCAAGTCCCATCCGCCCCAGGTTCCCTGCCATTAAGGAGTTGTTTAACTACCTCAGTGATTCCATTGTGGAAGGCGTGTCAGTGGGATTAAGTATTCCTTCACCAACCACCTCTATCCTTAGTTAAAGTCAGTAGCACTCCACCCGCACTATGTATCATGCCAGTAGATAACTGGTTTCTCCTCCTGAGTCACCCAATCCAATTTTAGAAACCCCCCTCTGTTAATATTAATACTGTAATCTGTACCGTTCATTAATTTACAATCAAATACATTTTAGATATGCCATTAAAAAGAAGCTCATCACCAAATCACACGAAATTTACTGTAGTCAGACTTGATAATAACCTCTACCTCAACACAAAGAACATTATGAACAACTGAAAAAGAAAAAAGTTATTCACTACAATGTGAAGAGAAGAAAATGTTTCTACCTTGACGTGAATCTGGTTGCGCAGCACAGCAGCTCGGAGAATCATGGCTTTGGCTCGTCTCTGGAACTCTTTGCCCATATGAAGAGACTTCTCAAATGTGGTGCTCCTTTGGTCGACGTCCCTCGCATACAGAATCTACGAGCAGGTCAGAGTCCCAGTTTGTCAGGGTTCAAACAACAAAGTACCTGTGGCAACGGTTTGATGTGTGCAGCGTTTTCACCTTGCTGTGGGAGTCGATACGTGCATTAATGAGACCCTCCAGTATGAGCTGGGTGAGCTCGTCCTCCAGAGCTGTTACTGTTGTGTTGAACGCCTGAGCCATCTTGGTCATGTCTGCTGACACGTAGGGGCTGAAATACTGGGAGGAGGAAAAAAAAAACAGAAAACCCACACACAAGAAAAATATCAGTGCTCAAAAAGATCACACTTGAAAAAGTTAGTACAAAGTACAAAGATTTATAGTGATTACATTAGTTTGGTCAATCATCTTTCTCAGAAATGCCTGTGCATGTTAAACAGTATTACATGTATATGAGATGCTTCCTTGTAACCAACACTATCATCTTCATTTACAGATCACAACACTTCACTAAACCTGTCAGCAGCTGCAGTGCCATCGTGTTACCACAAGCCAAACACACACAGCACAGTACTGCTGACTGGATTTAGGCAATCAAACTGTGAGACAACACTGCCACCATCAAGTCACAATAACTGCAGATGAAACAGATTCCCCCTAATATCCAGCACTCAGATATTCAAAAACTGCGTAAATCCATTAACAGTGACAGTCATTATGACAGACAAGTGAAACTAGTAAAACTTTCAAATACCTAATATTTTATGTGACTATTTGTTGTCTCAAATATACACATTCCCTTGTCTTTGCTTTGTTTTTTTGAAGCCAGTGATGGTAGGATGTAATGTGTTACTATTGGATAAAGGTGGCAGCACTACACCAATGCAGGGGGCAGGGTTAGGGTTAGGGTTACCTAACCCTTCATCCTGCCACGGCTACTATTTAAACACCCTGTTTTGTTCCCCCCCCCCCCAAAGAATCAGCAGCAACTTGATTATCCTATGCACGGTCAGTGTGTATGCAGTATGTCTCACCTGAATCAGGGCTCTGTTCCTGATCTGGCTGTACAGTGTCTTGACATGTGGTGCCAGGTACATGTCCAACAGGAGGTTATCCTGCAAGAAACAGCACAATCATATACTGCACTTTCTGTGTGTGTGTGTGTGCGCTCACATTATGCGACAACGGAAGCACACACTCTCCTTTGACGCATGTGTAGTGTTACTTCAGGGGTGGGCAGTTCATTTTCTCTACTGGCCACATTAGAAAGTGAGGAGGCCACATCAACAAGCTGAACTCAGTTCTGGTCACTATTAATTTATGTTTCGCTTTTCTTTTTGGTCTTGAACAAATGTATTAAAGTCAGGTACAATGTCTGAGCCTTCCATTCTGCATCTGAGAGCTCTGAAATATACTCGCCTCTCTCTTCAGAAGACTCAATTTTGGTTCTTAGGTTCCTACCCTTTAGTACTTTGAACAGGCAAAGCCAGCTGATAGCTGTGTAGTAGCCTACATCACCATGTGTTACATGTCTGTGACTCAGTGCTCTTACCCTGATAAAGTTAACTATTTGAAATGGAGCGGTTCTTAGCAGGCTGTTCGATATAACGATATATATCGGATGACGATATAAAAACATCTATCGTTTCATTTTACGCTATTGTTTGTTTCGCGGTGTCGCAAAATAAACTGTTTACGGCAATATACTGCCACTACAGTGACCATAAAAACAATGAAAAAACATTGTTTTTATGGTCACTGTAGTGGCTATATTAATTTCTTAAAGTTCTCTCTTTCTCTTATATTTAATATAATCACATGGACAAGCGCCTGTTTTTATGGGTTGTTGTTAGCAACAACGACGGTAACACCACCGCATGTCCGCTTGTTTATTTTCCACATAAACCTTTCACAATAAAGCTCAAGATCCTGTTGAGAATTTTCAAAATAAAATGAATCCTGTGAAAAAGTATGCAGAGTATTGACGGATGAGAAGGAAAAAAAAAAAAAAGAGTCGTCAGGTGCTAAAAAATAAGCCTTAGACTCAAATGTTAGAACAGGCTTTCCCCGCAGCACGCCGTGTAATAAATACTCACAAAGAAAACGGCGGCCGTTACAACCTATGTCTAAAAATGTGTAGTTTCATGCATCGGTTAAAACACTCGACTCCAGGTACACGACGCCCAGCTGGAAACACTTCACCTACCCGAGATTCACAGAATTTACAGAACATATTAAATTTTTTGTGATTTATATCGTTATCGGGACGATAGATGTTTTATATCGGGATATGAGATTTTGGTCATATCGCACAGCCCTATCCTGTTCAAAGATATTTTGTATGCAGACAGAAGCAACCAGTGATTACAGGATTAGTAGCACGTTTAGATGACCTGCTTCACCTCCTGAGCTACAGTTCCTCATCAACAACATGGTTAATTTTTAGCACTGATATACACAACACATCCTGTTGTTTTATACAGTGCAAAACTCAAATTATTTTCAGCTCCAAGTTAATTTTAAAGTTAATTAACAAAACTGAGTAACTGAGTTGCATAAATATCATAGCTCTCGTCCAGAACTAGGGTCTGCTTTGTTTTTCAACCGCAGCTCCAGATTTCCTGCAGGGGCCCATTCTCATATTCTTCCAAACACACTTTGATAAATTCAGAGAATGAGTTAGTGTTGTGTGTTTGTAGTGTGATGAAGCCCTTTCAGTCTGTTGAACCTTTCTGGATAGTTATTTGCCTACAGGCAGATCACACCATTCAACTGCTTATTTGGAAGTACTGACATCTGCTGGTCATTCGATGTACAGCAGCCCTGCTGTGATAATAGATGTGGACCACATACCAGTAGATATGCAAACGTAATGATGTGTCAGTTGTAGAATAGCTATATGAAGTGCTGTATAATATACACACATATACCTCTAACCATCTGTGAGAAGATCTCTGTTATTATTGAGCGATAGCATATCAAAATGCTCCCAAACTGCTGATATTTTTCACCTTTTTGGTGGCTCCATAATGTGCTTACAATCTCCTTCCAAGCTCATTATGATCCTCAGAATCACATCAGATCCAGTTCATACAAAAAGGTACTTCCCGTGTCTTTTCATCAGCTCAAACACGGCCTCGTTTATCTTTGGTCAAGTGATATTCTGAGGAAAGATACGGGTCATGACATAGGCTTCCTCGGCTCTACACAGGCCTCAGGGCTTCAGTGTCAGACATAACAACACTACCTGCTAGCAAAGGTTCAGCTTTCCATTCCTAGTGAGTGAAGTTCTTGTATTTCTCTGAATGTTTAGTCTTGCAATGGAGACTCAAAATTCAATCCTTAAGCACAGTAATTTGTGCTACCAGAACTTGCATGATGTATACCTTTATACATTTGAATTCTAACCCACTGACCTCTTAAGGGCCAGTAAGGGACAACTAAATGGTAAATGGCCTGCATTTGTATAGCGCTTTTCTAGTCCCTAAGGACCCCAAATCACTTCACACTACATTCAGTCATTCACCCATTCACACACACATTCCCACACTGGCGATGGCAAGCTACATTGTAGCCACAGCTGCCCTGGGGCGCACTGACAGAGGCGAGGCTGCCGGACACTGGTGCCTAAAGGACCAGATGTGGCCCAGGACCCAAACAATGGCCAGTTTTTTGTTAGTTTAAAAACCTTTCATGCGCTAACCTTCATTTCATCCAGTAGCTTGAGACAGGATGCATATTTAGACTCGTAGAACTTGAAGATAATGTCACGAATTTGAGGTTCCAACTCTAGAAATAACTTAAAGGAGCTAGGAAGAAAAAAAAACATAGATACAAAGTATTAGCATGGATTGCTGTCCATCACTAGAACTGATTTCTATCCAAGAAATATTTGTACACCAGCCTACCTGCTGGAGATGACGTTGCGCTGAAGCTCCTGTCTGTCAAACGTGGCCAAAGCACACAAGCCCCCATACACAGCTACATTACTGGGCGACAGGAGCTGCAGGGAATATGATGATGATGAATGATATTTCTCCCAGCAATTAGACTCATGTATAGATGCTCATATTATGTCCGACATTTTTAGGATCCAAACACACTGGTTGAGGTGTACATGTAACCATGTAAGTTACTTATACATGGTTACAAATGAAAGAGGATAGAAGACATGTGGGTGATATTCCTTTTTTTAAAATCTGAGATGCTAATGCTTTAGTGCAACACCCAGTGCAATGGTGCATGTTACATCTTCAGTTTTCATGTACGAGCTCACCTCTGGACAGTCACAGTGGTCAAAGGAAGCCTGCAGGAAGCACTTGGCAGCTGGCTTGTATTTTCGAGAGGCCAACTCGGCCAATCCTGATGCACCAACAAGCAAGATGAACAATATACTGGAAATCAGGTCACATTTTTCCAAACTTCATAAATACAAGACCAATATTGGTTAACAGAAAGCAACCTCTTCAAAAATTACACTCACACACACACACACACACACACACACACACGAACACACACTCACCTGCAGCACACTTTAATTTGGTGAGGACAGCTTGATTTTGACTATCTCGCTCTCCTCTTTGCTTTTAGGGGGGAGGAGAGCAAAAAGAAGAAATTTACTATAAATATTTTATTACTCTTCATAAAAGGCTGGACACAATATATAAAATAAAAGAGATGCTGAAGTATGTAAACTGTGCTCACCTCTGCAATTTCTGGTGTGGACTCTGCCTTATTGACGTAGCTCAGCACGTGCGACCAGTTCTGGAGGTAAACACTGACCTGTGAACGCACAATTTAAGTCACAAAGACTTTGTTTACTCACGTGCTTAATCAGACAATTCAATGTCTGTAAAAAACAAACAAACAAGCAAAAATAACCCAAAAGATTCTGTTGTGTGTAACAACTTTTCCAGGTTTTCGAATTCTGTTAATTGGCTGTGCAGTGCTATCTGTAGAAAACTACAGTGACACTGAAAGTGTCTTGGCACAATTCAGTCTAAGTTATATAGTTCCCAGTACATATAGGTCTGTGTACTGGGTACTATAGCTGGGAGAAAGTCTGGAAGTGCTGACATGCACACAGATTTCAGTAAAGTGAAACATTTTGGGCAAATACTCATATACTTTTCTGATGTGTAGAGTTTTGCCAGAACCAGGTTTCTAAGTTCAATATAAACTTCATCTCTCAATTGTAATAAGAATTGTGATAAGGCTAATAATCCCTGGACAATTGTGTCCATGGAAACAGTGACTGCAGCAGCAGAGCACTGTGCTTCCTTCCTGCTGTACCTTGATGACATTTAGACACATGTTAATGACATGCTTAGCACTGGTGCAGTAGTCTCTGGCTCGAGAGTAGCACTTCAGAGCATTACTGAGGTCACCACAGTCCAGATAATGGTCCCCCAGGTCATCATGGCCTCTCCTGGGGAGAAGGGATGGAAGGTGAGGAGACGGCAGACATCCACAAAAACAATGTTATCTGAAAATGACCAATCTGCTCATCAAAAAACTTTGACCCTCACTAGTTTTGTATATATTTATTATTGTTCCAGCAAAAAAGACTGAGACAGCACCTCTCCTTCTGCTTCTTAGCTGGATTACTGATCTTATTCAATGTTCAGTTGGTCTTAAGCTTAAACTTTAGATTAACAGTAATGCTTTTGCAACCACACCTGATGCTCTCTTTGATGGAGTTGCCCTTGTAGTTCTTAAGATCCGTATCTAGTTTCTCCAGTTTAAGCAGAGCCTTTTTTCTGGTCGATTCAGCCCAAGCTGAGTCCAGGGGAGGGGGAACAACCCCTCCTTCAGGAACTGTGTCTGGCACACCCTGCACTTCCCTATAGGTGGAGCCCAGGAGAAAGAAAAAAAAAATCACACAGAAATATTTACAAATCTAGAAAATGAACAATTTGCAGGCTGGGAGTCAAGACTTTCCAAGCCTAATTTTAAATGTAGCAATGCTGTTTTGCTTATCCATAATGAAGCACATGTGAAATACAACACCTAAGTTTTTGTTTGTACTGTTCGAATCATGCTGTTCTTTGCTACACCAACCTGTGCTGCAACGCAGGATTTAAGGATTTAAGGATTTGGGAATGTCTTGTTAAAAAAAAGCAGCTCTATCCAAAAGGAAGCACCCAATTGCTGGGAGAGGACTAGAAAGAATACCGTGTGGCCTCTGTGAGTTTGCGGTGAATCTCTTCATAAGTGTCAACATTGAAGGTCCTCTGAACAAAGGTGAGCGCCATCTTCAGGGCCTCCACTCGGAGCTGAGGGCAGTGCTCAGCAATGAACTGCAGTCTCTCAATGCGCATTAATCCACTATAACTGGTCGCATACTGCTCCAGATCCTGCACAGACAAGGAGTGAAACATCTGTTCAAAAACATGTCAGAACTGCTCCGATTAAACAGTGAGGTAACACTTTCATCATTGGATGATATAGCTCCGCATGTACAAGGATTGTAACTAACTTTTCGTTCATTCACACCCAGAACAGTTAACAGAAACAAGAATCAATTAGCAGCAGGAATCTGCATCACATGAAACATTACAAATAAAATAAGAGATATTGGGATATATGTAACAGTTTGTGAGATAATACCAGTGTGGGGTTCTCCACAATATAGTTGGTGTCTGGAGCATTCTGCTGGTCCTCCTGGGGATCTGCATCAATCTGCATGGGCTCCACAGACCCCTTAGAAATAGATCACATACATAGTTTTGTTAGGTTCAACAACAGACCTGATCTTAGGACTAGATAATACGTAATTTACATCAGGAAGCCCTCTCTTCAAAGGGCTTTTCATCAGTAGTTCACTGGTGCTTAAACTCGTACTGGTAGTTTACCATGTCGGAGTAACTGTACAGGAAACAATGTCCTATAATGGATACGCAATATGTTCAGTAGAATAAGTGGGCACAGCCCTCCCCCCCATTCCTCGATGCTTTTATGCCTTTATGTTGAAAATGCAAAACAGGCGCAGTGATTTTTTGAAACATATGCAAACATAAGCTTTTCTTGGATGGCAGCTGTCTTTTGTTCCATTCTCTGTCAAGATGATACCACACTGCTTTAATAATGTTGAGCTTTGGAGAGGACAACCCCTACATGACAGGAAAACACAGTGGAATGACTAAGGCAGAGCTTCCCAAAGTGTGGGGCCCGCCACTGCAAGGGGGGGGGGGGCGCGCAGTATGAAAGGGGGAGAAAAAACAAAAACCGCTTGGACACTGCTAGCACGGGGCGCCCACACAAACGCAAAGCAGGAGATGAAGCATCGCTGAATGTGTTTCAAAACCAACTTCATTCTAAGCCAAAGATTAGAAAATATGATGAAGCATATCTTCCCTTTGGCTTCACCTGCACCTGATTAGTTGTTATTTAGTGTTTAGTTGTGCAAACACTACTGCTTATTTGTCCCCGCCCTCCTTTGTCCTCCTGTTTTCCCGCCCCCAACGAGGAGTTAAACAGTTTGATGGCGTGTGGGAAAAAGGAGTTTTTAAGTCCTAGACATGAGGAGAAGCAACCTGACGCTGAGCAGACTCCTTTGGTTATTTATGACCATGCAGAGGATGCCCAACACTGTCCATAATGTCTAGCAGTGTTTTTAGTGTCCTCTTCTCTGCCACTGTCACCAGTGTCCAGCTTCATGCCGACCACAGAGCCAGCCTTCCTTATTAGTTTGTCCAGCCTGGATGAGTCCGTCTTTGCTGTGCTGCTCCCCCAGCACACCACAATATAGAAGAGTACACCGGCAACCACCGAGGAAAGCCTCCTGTGGAAATACAGTCTGCTTTGGCCTTTTTTATACAGGTGTTGCATGTTGTATGACCAGTCCAATTTGTAAGTGTAAATTTTTCAGTTACAGCTACATTTTTCGCCAATCTTATGTTTTCTAAAAAGGTCTTGCATGGTTGAAAATCTGACTTTCTGCATTCATAATTATAACAACTTTGGTCGAATCAAATACCACTCACTGAAATGCAGCAGCTGTATCTCTCAAATCCTGTATCAGGTCTTTGCTGGATTTATTCCCATTTCTTGAGGACATGACTTTCACACAATGTTTATCTCCTGTAGGTAGTTTTTATGCCAGCCACATCTGTTGTCCAAGCAGCATTCCAAAATAAGCCAAATTTTGGCTAGTAACTCTTTGGGAAACACACTGTTTTTGCAAAACTACAATTTTATGCTTGTCAAATTATATTACAGAACAGGACAATTATTAGTCTCCCTATGAGTTTCTTTGTTTTGTTTTTTTAATAACCTTAAGTGCTGTTGGCAAAGTTTCCAATCTTAGTTTTACGTTGGCTGCTTGGAGTATTTGACTTTGCACACAGAAATATGATGAAATATGAAAACAGTAGGGCCAAACTTTATAACTCCCTGATCCTAACAGCTAAATGTGAATCCTTTTTGCTAGATAACAGCCTGCAGTGATTTGTTTTCAACACACCTCCCAAGCAATCCCAGACCATTGTTCAATGGCAATTCTCTTAAGTGCCTCCAGCAGAATTTCAGTGATATTAAAGTCAAAAATTTGTGCAGGCCAGTCAGAGAAAATTAGTTGAGATTTAACAAGTCAAGATTTTGACTTGTTTGCAATTACTTTTGTTGTTGCAGGGTGGGGTCAAAATCTTCCCTGTGGCAACCAAAATGGTACTCAGGATCAAGTATTTTCCTGCGTATCAACATCAAGTATAAAATCCTAGTATCCCAACAACCCCTAGCTTCCAGTATGCGTAGTTTTTGTTGAGCAAAATTCAATCTGGCTTGAAGATGTTTCGTCTGTAGAAGTGACATTTTTCTTGGTCTGCAACCTTAAAGTTCATTTCTTTGGAGTGATTGTCTTCTTTGAGACTACAATTCCAGACTTGGCTAAATCATTCACTGGTATTGTTAGACAATCATTTTCTTTCCAGTCTTTTAAATCTTTGGCTTCCTACCTCTACTATTCTTGTTCTGAACTATGTAGCCAACTTTGAATTACTTGATGGTATTTCTCACTTAAGTTTTTGACACTCGAAAACACTGATGATGTTGTATATCCGTCTCCTGCTTTGTGAGCACCAACAACTATTTTTCTCAAATGTAAACTGTTTTTGGCATGACACTTTCTCAAGTGACAGCTCAAACCCTTGCTGAGCTTAACTTGATTTTACAAGCTTTGAGCATTACAACATTACAGCACGTCATTGCACATCAGTGGTTTGGCTATGGCTCAATAAAAGGTTTTTATTATTCAGCTTCAGCTGTGAATGCCTTCTCACAAAGATAACTGCATAAAAGCTATTGAAACAATGTATCATGTCCAGCTGTTGGACAGCTGATGCCTTCTCTTTCCGGTAAGCAAAGAAATAATGTACCTTCATATAGCTTCCTGATGGACAGAGCTAACTCTAAACCTCAACTTAGTAACTGGAAAATTTGAGATATCCAAATTTAAATTTTAAGCTATTTTCTTACAATTGTGCCATTTTCTAGAAATCCTGACTTATTAAGTGAATATTTTGAAATACCCAGTTCAACATTATGAGTTATGAATAGCAAACGATTTGTTTTGTGGTTTTGTCGTTTTTTCCATTGCCATAAACAAGCTTACATGGGCCTGGCAGAGAACGAGACACAAATATCATGCTTAGGATGGACGGGTTCCTGATGTAAACAACAGGCATTTAACATTAGCTTGGCGCTAGCAAAGTGATACACTAAAAGATGGTATATTCTGGAGTTTATCGACGTTGAAATTAAGCTATTCTTGACAACGGATACTTCTTACATATGTAATAATTGTGTTGTCTACTTATGGTGCTAGTAACTGCTATCCGGAGCGAACGAGCATGACAAGCTGCCAACAACAGGATATTAGGTATACTTCCGTTAGCTTAAGGCTACGACCATAAACACAACTGGTTCTTTACTGTACTCCAAGTGCTGTGTTATACAAAGACTGAAACTTGCCATGTCTGTGGCTCACTTTAAAAGCCAACCGCGAGCGTCACGCGTCGTTTTATCATTTAGGTGCGTTAACACCAGCGCTGTAAATGTTGTTAGCTAACCGAGGCCTTCAGTCAATTGTAATCCTTGAGTTCTGCTCCACTTCATAAAGCTTCATATCGGTTTTACGTAGAAAGGCTTCAGGAAATGTGCATTTTAACATGCTTCGTGACATTTTAAGGGCCACTCCTCATTTCGGCATATGGCATTACACTAATCAGAAATTACCTCTAGATGTCTTACACATTAGCTGTTCCTTCGTTGTAACCCTTTTAACATGTAAAAGAGATAAATGGATTGTGTTTTACACACTTATGGTGCCTAGTACATGCCTATTAAACACAATAAACAACTACTGCGTAAGTGGTCTGTAATTGTGATTTTTAACCATGATAACCGTAACTACAAATTCAAAGCTAACCTAGCCTGCTAAACGCTAGCTAAGGTGGCAGAGTTTCCAGCAGTCTTTGCTAAATAAAAAAACAAAAAACATTTTAAACAGCATTTTAAACTCACCTGAAAGTTAAACACTTGCACGGGCAAAGGCATCTTATGTTTGTCTCACTTAAGAATTGGTGTCTTTGAGGGGGTAGGGGGTGGGATTGTAGCATGAAGACATAAATGTCTGGCGGACAGTTCAGCAGCCAAGCCGGACTGGGTTGGATCTCCAACTACTGGTGGGAGGTGGGAACTGCAACGGTAACTAATTAATTAAGAGCAAGGAAACTGAAAAAGAAAACATTGGTATAGAAAAATATTGAGATTGAAGAAAAATGAAACTGAATAAGAAAAGGCTGACATTTAATAAACACAAATTTGTGTTTTACTTATGTTGTTTTACATTTGCAGTTATTGTTCCTTTTTACTTTCACAATTGTTTTTTTTTTTTTTGCTTTTTTCTATCTGTTTTTCAGTTTAATCAATGACTGTTTTAATCATGTGTCGCTGTTTTGGCCAGTGGGGGAGGGGACGAAAGGCGCTTTTCTGCTGAGTCTTGACGGTAATTTGCATATAATTTGCATCCAGCAGACAATTAGCTAACCACCTTAACTGAACAACTTTGTAATGGATGTTACGAGTTAATTAAACTGAAAAATGGATTGAAAAAAGATAGATTGAAACTGGAAAAAAAAAGTTGCAAGTGAAAACAAAAAAATTACAGTTTCAATTAATTACTTTTCACTATCAATTTCTTTTCAGTTTCAATACAAGATTTTTCAATACATTTATTTTAGTTACAATATTTTTTTTCAGTTTCAATATTTTTTTCGGTTTCATTTCAAGGTGGCATCGTTCTGATCCCATACCAACAAGGATTAAATATATTATGTGGGTTAAATAGATGATTTTCCAATCCCTTCTATAAAGCTGCTATAAAAGGTGGAAATTAGTGAGTCAATCTAACCATTAACATTAAGATGAAAAAATGTCTACTAACCTCTAGATTTAGCCAGTCCATCATTATGGCTCACTCCAAGCTTTATCAAAGTTTTGCAAATGAACCAGTTTATGTTGCACTAAAATACCTGGTTGTAAATAACACAACATTTGTATGTGCCAGCTTGTTTTCCAAGAAGCTTCAGAAAAACAAGCAAGAAAACGTGATTTATAGATTCAATATCTGATTTAATGTTTACTATGAAATAAGGCATAGACGTAAGCTTTAAATTTAAAGTCCATAAAATTTCAAATGCTGAGCAGCCCACAGCTGTATGGAGGGCCAGGAGTGAAACTGAACAACAAAATGAATTAATTAAATACGCCATTAAATAATTAATTCAATGTTTAATTAATTAATTCAGTAAATATATCAATAATTTATTAAATGGCCCTTAAACGTTTGTCTTTCTTATCCTCCCTAGCTGGTGTCTGTTCTAAGCCTTTTATGTCCACTGTATATCGGCCATCTTTGAACAGAGTCGGTGGTTTACGACACAAACTGTCTGCCATCTATAATCCAGTTTTAAGATTCGACCCTAGAACTGGAGAAGCTTCTTGGATGAGAGGTGAAACGTCTTCAACCAACTTAAAGAAGTTCAGACGCTTTTCTTTCCAAGCTCCTTAGAATTTATTAAATGCCCATAATTTCATTTAAAACATTTCATTTTTTTCACTTTTAATTAATTATTAGCACATTTAATTAATTATTTTATGATGTTTTTATTGAATTCCTTTTGGCATTCCTGGCCCTGCGGATGTGTTCTTGAATTAATTTTATCTGTCAGCCTCACCCATCAAATTTAGGGGGCGGCGTTAATGCTGCCGCTGCAGCTTGTCTAACATCTGATTGGTTACTGTGCAAAGTTAGTCAAGACAGGTCGATCCCAGATAATCAATCGCTATAAACTGGTGGTAGTGTAGACCTGGGGCAGCCAGGTATCCCAGAATGCATTTTAAAACACAAGCGGCAATGGGGATGGCGCTCTGTAAGTGAAGTTTTAAAATACCCTGTTTTTCCATTACCAATTACACTTTTAATATTGTTTTACCCGCAAATGTAGTGGCGTAATCTTCACATATCTGGTCTGGTTGTCAATATAGAACAGAAGTGATCCAATGATTTTGGAGGTGGGCAGATGGCGCTCAACATAACGTAATGTCACAGCAATATTCTGCACAAAATTAGTAAATTTAGTGTGTTTCCTCAGCCCAGAGCTGCTCAGATTTGTTTGGCTCAGATTAAAGTTACGTTTCATAACTGCGTAGTTTTACTGAAGTTTAATGTCTCACTGGAGCACAGGTTAGACTCAACTATTTGCTTTTCTTTATTATCTGCTGTTCTTATGTGTTGGGTTTTTTTTTTTCATTTTGAATTAAAACTAATATTAAAAATCTTTTTTATACAAGGAGGAAAGAGAAGGCGCATTTGCACTGGGAAGAGACGCATCTGAACCAGCATGCTGATCATGAGGACTCCAGCCTGTCCAGAAATGATTACATTAAGTGTTTTTAATATTTATTCAACAGTATTCTAAGCACCAGCTGTCTGTTAGATTTTTCAGAGTTTAATAAAATAAAAATAAAGTCAGATACTTCTAAACTATTAATTATCCAATTTAACTTATAAATCAGCTGGAAGCGCCACGTTTTCATTCTGTCTTTTATTTACAGCATGTTTTAAGTGGTGATATGATGGGGGAATATGTTTTATATGAGCAGCGTGCAGCCGGCTGTAGTAAAATCACTGAATAAAGAGCAAACACTAGGGTGATACCAGGGTGGGCAGACATCTCTGAAATCATCGAAGCACTTTGGCAAATAGGCTCTGTCTTGACAAACCGACCAGATACCTGAAGATTAAACCACTACATCCTTGGCTAAAAAATATTAAAAGTGTGTTTGGTGACACAGAAACAGGTGATTTCAAAGTACAGTTCAGTTTGTTTGCACACCCACTAACAGAATGGCCACCAGGCCAAAGCAATGGATTTGTCAGTGTTAACCCCGCCCCCTGACTTTGATGGGTGAGACTGACAGATAAAATTGAACACAGCCAGAGGGCCAAGAGTACGTGGCCCTGAGAGGCCAAACGGACTGCAACTTCAGAAAACACTTGCAAAAAGAAAAATGCTGCAAAAAGAAAAACACTGCACTTTAACTTCAAGAAAAACGCTGCACTGCAACTTCAGAAAACACCTGCAAAAAGAAAAACGCTGCAAAAAGAAAAACGCTGCAAAAAGAAAACACCTGCAAAAAGAAAAACGCTGCAAAAAGAAAACACCTGCAAAAAGAAAAACGCTGCAAAAGCACACAAAACACAACAGAAATAGGAAAAAAGCACAATGGAAATGTTTCTGGGGAGACAATAACCCGACGGACCAGTTGCTCAAACCAAAACATGTATGTATGGCTGTATCCCAATTCAGGGTCTGCAGCCATAAAGTACACAGCCTTAACGGTCCTCAAGGGCCGCGTACTCAAAGACCGCTAAGGCCGGAAGTGCGAGGCTTGTAGGCTTGTGAAATGGGACGGTCTAGCCTCCGTTGCACTGCCCAGGTTGCCTAGCAACCATGATACTAACAGCTGGAAACGTT